ACAGAGTGGGCGGATGTAGCAAATACGTAATGGAAGATGAAATTAGAGTAGGAAATAGATAGATAGATAGATAGATAGATAGATAGATAGATAGATAGATAGATAGATAGATAGATAGATAGATAGATAGATAGATAGATAGATAGATTATTGTTATTGGCACTTGTTCGCCACTTGAAGCACACGGGTGTTCACTACTGCGTTCTAGTTTCGCGTTAGGTAATATCGTAACCACCGGGGACAAATTTCTAAACAAAGTTCTCTCAAATATCAGTGTGGCTTAAGTGTTTGACATGATACATTTCCAGACGCACAGTTCGCGATATTATGTACCCAAGCTCGGCATGAGTAGAGAGAGAGAAAGAAAGAAAGGAAAGGCCAGGAGGTTAACCAGATATTGGCATGTGTTTTGCTACCCAGCGCTGGGGGCGGGGAAATAGGGGCAAGAAAGAGGGTGTAGATAGGGAAAAAAACGCACCGCGCACTTATGTGAAAACGAAAACACACACAGGAAAGGCGTCCTAGCTACAACCGTTCAGTAAGGCCGGTCGATCACATGAGTATTTCTTAATTATAAATCAGACCTACTTAGCGTTCTATGGGTCCAGACACAACGACACATTAATAATGGCTGTGGTTTTACGTCCCGAAACCACTATATGCTTATCAGGGACGTCATAGCATTCTGCTCGAGAAATTTCGACCAACTGGCGCTGGTATGTGGTGCAACAAACCTACCGTGAAATCAAATTAAGTGTAATCAAGTGTTTTCGTTCTACAGAAAGAAATGACAAAAAAAAAAAGCCGTGCTCAAAACAGCTTGACTAGTTCGCAGGTTCGTCCTGGGACGGTATCAATGGCGGGAAAGCTCTACCGCTATGAAACAAGAATTGAATTGGGAGCTGATTTCATCGCGTAGAAGAAAATTGCGATTAAAACTTTTCAATCCAATATTTAATAATAAAACTGGAATCAATAAGGATATGTATTTACAGACGCCGTATTATTTGTCAAATCGAATCGATCATCCTTTTAAACTGAGGGAATACCGTCCCAGGACTGGAATTTTTGCAAATTCTTTTTTTGTCAGAACAATACATGAGTGGAATGGGCTCACAAGTGTACAAGTGTCTGCTGTAATTGAAACTAACGCCTTCGGGCGCTGCAGGTATACTTCGAATTAAGAATAAAGAATAAAGCTCGATAAAAAAGCAGAAAAATTGAATGAAAAGTCACAGTGGTAGCAGTCGAGTGGCAAACATGGAAATGTGCAGAGGCATAGCCAGCCCTTTTTATGTTTTTTTTTGTTTCGGGGAGGGGGAAGGCATTTGAGTAATAGTTTATGCATGTTCGTGCATGCGTTTGTACGTGTACGTGTATAAATGCTCAAGCGAAATGACAAAAAAATATCGAGGGGATTCGAACCAACACACCACTTCAGCTATGGTTCGGCAATATGACACTCTAGGGCAGTGACACTTCACAGAAGTACACGTTGAAACTGCAATTAATAAACAAATGTGAGCCGGAGATTGAAAACGAAATCAGTACACTGCGTACAAAACGTCAACATGATAATGTTATTTTCATCCATATGCGAATAATCCTTCGGATTATATGCTTCCGAAACTTTACTGGTTGAGCTAACCAATGCTTTGCCATTTAAGCTGTGGAGGCATAGCGGCTACTGTGGAGCACCGCAAAAGATATTTCGAGGTCTTTATCAATGAACAGGTTACAAATGTTTGTTAAAGTTGTTGTACGAACCGTCAAGCGCGCATGGCAAGCCAGACAAGACGGCGCTAGTTGCGGCATAACAAACGATGATTACGCGTGAATACAGGAAAGCCCTATAAAGGAGCACTGTACGCTAAAGAAGGACTTTTGCAAGAAACGTTTCAGATTTAGATCCATATAGGCTGTGTCATTGGCTAGTTTCGGAATTACGCGTTACCTCTACACGAAAAAGCACGAAAGTTGAAAGGCTGAACTGCTTCTCCCTTCGTCAACCTTCAAAGAGTTGAACGGTTGGTCAGTTTTATTTTGAATTCGCTTCGTTTGTTAATGTGCGAGGTTTACCCATCCGAAACCAACGATATGGTTAGGGGGCACGCCGTACTCGAGCGCTCTGGATTCTGTGACCATCTGATGTTCTTTAACCTGCACCGACATCGCAAAGTGAACGGGAATTCAAGTATTTCACCTCCATCGAAGTATGGCTGCTGCGACTATAATAAAGCCCTTTGGGTGCATGAGCATACGAGCACGGTAAGCACTGTTTCACGGAAGCGAACTGTTTTGATTGTTAAGCAAAATGATGTTGCCTGTCCACTGAAGTGGATCAATAATCGAGGTGCTAGGCTACTGACCCTAAAGCCGCGGCTTCTATCCTGTCGTCTGTTTGTTTCCCTTCTTGACTGTATAGCATCTTTTCTTCACGCTCAAACTGAGCTGAGCTAAAGCAATATCATTTTATTATGCACCAATTCGCCCAGTCAGTGGTACTTTTCAATCCTTGCCGCGGAGGTCGCTTTCGCCTGGAGGCTTAACGGTGTAGGACCGTGTACTGTGTGATGTCAATGGACGTTAAAAAACGTGAGATGGTCGAAATTTTCGGAGCCCTCCACTACGGCGTCGCTCATAATCACATCGTGCTTTTGAGACGTTACACACCAGAAACTATCAAAATGGTGTGGCCGGTGCTGACATGAAGGCGCTATTTTCAAACTATTTTCATGTGTATGCCAACGTTTGTTTCAATTATTGGTTTCTGTTCTTGTTTTATTGTTACTGATGCATTTTTCTTTATTCTTTGAAATGCCTTTTTTATTTAATATGTACTGCATATCTTGCAAAGTGCTACTATTGCCGCACCCTGTAACGGCTTACAGGCCTACAGTATGAGAAAAGAAAATAAACTCGCCTATATAGGGTTTCAGTAAAGAACATATGAAAAATTGAAGGCAATACTATTGTCGTGAAAGTTATTCAAGAGTTCTGCCGCATTAAGCCACGCGTATATTAATCAGATCATGGGTTTCACATGCAAACTTTCTGAAACTTACTTTGCTAATATCACAGGGAGCTGTTCGCCATTCAAGTAGCTGCTTGCTGGAAAATAAACGAGACAACGACACAGAAATAAATAAAGAACACATCATGGGCACACATTGTTTGAAATTCGCCTTCCGCATTATCTCGAGTGAGAACAACGCTTCATATCCATATATACGAGTTGGCAAGCGTTGAGGATTTCCTCCCCGTGTGTCAACACGTACGTTCTACGAAGTCACGACGCTCGTGCTCCTGCTGTTTTTTCCCCGAATATGTATGCATGCAAATTTCTTTCACAAATATATAGGGGCGTGGCCACGGATGTTAGAACTACGCCTGAGGCAACGGGTTCTAACTTCAAGTAGCACTTTTTACGACCAGAGAATTTTTACTGTGCTATGCTACTCCGAAAGCAAATATGCGTCTGACTAGATTTTCTGTTTTGCGCTTCAAATACCCCTAGAGAAAAAGAAACAAGGAAAGGAGGAAAACACACAAATACCCGCTTTATTTCGGTCTGTCTCTGCCGCGCGTGCACACACACACACACACACACACACACCACACACACACACACACACACACACACACACACACACACACACACACGCACACGCACACGCACGCACACACACACACACACACGCACACACACGCGCGCGCGTGCACGCACGAAAGAGGCAACGAAAATGTATTGTTTGTATATGTTAGACACGACAATGTGGCAGTTTTCTTGTCTCACTGCGCAAATATTGTCACGCCGGTGACGATATTCAAAAGAATGAAATGCGTTTACGAAATACCCACAAACCGATAGAAACAGGTGCTACAAAGATGACGGAACAGCAACAACACGAGCACTTGTGCATTCGTCGTCTTCATCGTCCTTCTGGGGCATGCATATTCCTTACGACTTATAAGAATATACAGTCGAAGTGCTAGCGAACTCTGTAGAAGCTTCCTGTACTGTCTATGCTACATACCCATCAAAACTTACATTCCTACTTTCCAAGAAGAGTGCTTCTTGCTCAGCACTGCTTACCCGATTTAGAAGCATGCATACACTACAGACTTATGACATTATTCCGAATATCCGCATTAGTGAAGGAGCCGTGGAACAAATGGCGCTTGCGAAGGTATATAGTCAGACAGAATTGTTGTTTCACGGGTCTTCTCAATGCCAACCAGCGGCTGAGAAATAATCCTGAATGCACCTTTTCCATAACATTTCGCGACACCGAAGGTCAACTTATGGAGGAAACCAGTGCGCATGTGAAAACTGATCCAAAGAGCTCAAACAAAGAACGACCGCAAACTTCAAAAAGTCAGATGCTCCCTTTATGCGCTTGTATAAACCGACTTGAAGGTGAAATCAATGTTTTTCATGCGAGCCGATAGTGATTATCCTCTCTCCCCCTGCCCCCCTACTGCCCCACCAAAAGCTTTTCACGATGATCATCATGTTTACACATTGCCTCAGAGACCATTGGCAATGCAAGATTTTTAGCCTCGCGTGGTTTCGCAGGTCCTCTGGGATCGGCTGGCCTTCGACCTAGTGAGGATGTTCTTCGATAACGTCACATACGTTTGTGACCTGTGACGTCATATGATGACGTCACGTAACGATGATTTTTTTCTGCCTGAGTAGCGGTGATGTTGCCAACGCTCGAGGTCACGTCTCGTGTTGGATGAGCAATCTATGGCTTTCGACTTAAACGAAACCTTTACGGAGGCAAAATGTTTTGTTCCTAGGAGTTAGAGCGATGCCACCACTGGTAATAGGAGCAGTGATTAGCGGTTGCGAGTGCTAGGCGGCACTTATCCATCCATAACCAACATTTGTCAACGGTACACCAACACTGAGGTGTGCTTTCTTTTACCAAGGGTTGTGCTTACTTGGTTACGTTCGAAGTTTTCTGATCTCATTCTTTCGGGTTTCGTTTCAGGTGTCTCTCACCACACAAAGGTCTGCGAGAACATGGAAGAAGACGCCGTCTTCAATGACGTAAGCACCCTACGTCAGTAGTTTTATGCATGCGCTCGTTGTCGAACAGGATAAACCTAAGGATTTTCCCTGTCGCCACAACGTAGCTAAATTTTTTCATACCGGCCTCTCCAAGTACAACACGCCCCACCATCGCTTCACAAAGTGGTCATATTATATGAAAGATGCTGCAGGTAGTAGCGAGCGCTTCGGTGATCCCGAGCTACCTAAGCAACGAGTGTGACGTGAAAAAAAGTACAAAAAGTCGCTGTGAGAAATCCCACAGAAAAGCCCTCTGTACTGGCTGACATAATCATGGTTTTCGTAGGAATTGCGAGACCTCATCGCAAAGCTAGTTAAAAGGAAGTACGTTGAAAGTAGTTTGGCGTGTGGTGCATATTTCAGCAGTTTCATAAGCAGCGTTTACTTGTCAAATTTCTTTTTTTTACACATTCTCTGCAATGGGCATATGGGTGGGTCTTGAATACGTCTTTTCTAAATGTTCTTCATCGCCATTCTGTTCAAAGGAAAGGCATTGCCTCTTAGTTTTGCTGCAGCCTTATCAGAGGTAGGCTCACGGAACGGCTCTTTGCTCTCCCATAGTAGAGTATCTTGTACACTAAATTCTTGACAACTTTTTTCTAAACACACAGGATCAAAAAGCAGTTGTAGGTGGTGCCCATGGGATGACTTTTTGCTCTCCCATAGTAGAGTACCAGGTACTCTAAATCATTAACAACTTTTTCCAAACACACGGAAAATGTTATTTTTTATTGTTCTTAGTTTCCCGATGCGGGGCGGCTTTCTGCACTCCCATAGTAGATTTGCAGTACCAAGTACTCCAAATCGCTCACAACGTTTTATAAAGAATTGTTTTTTTTTGCTATGTAAGACAGTAAAAATGTGAATGGATCCTTGAAGACCGACTTGCAACGCATAATTTATGTTTGTACACAATAAAGATTTTTTTTATTGCGAATGCATTTCTTAGTCGGGCTATGTCAGGCATCCGGCTATGTCCGCGATGGTGTCTGCGTGCCGGCAGGTGTCATCTCTCTGCTCTCACTCGTCCCTCTCTCCTAGGAACAGCTGCGGGCGTGCGCGCTTATTCTCGCCCCTAGCCACCACAGCAAGTGATGCGGGAGAGTGTAGGAGAGGGTAGGCTCAATGCTTCGCCGCTTCTTTTCTCCCGTTCAATCTCTCTCCTCCATGCGCTCCGCTTTCCGGACCACTCACGTCTCACTCTCGACCGTTCGCTGGCTGGGCGCCTCTCCAGAACATCCGGAAATGTGTGCTCGAGACGCCGCTGTGAAATGACGACGAAGGCCCGAGAACGCTGTTTGTTTTGTTCACTTCATAGTAGTTTTTAACCGTACATGCTAGCTAATAGAGCTGGAAACGCATACCTCGTTTTTCTCAAAAAACAAACAAACAAAAAACGCCAAGTGTGGCAAACGGTGGCTGCACAGTGTGAGAAAAAAAAAGATAACCCTTTTTTATCTAATGCTGGGTTCTCAAGTGCGAAACATCGTTATGGAAGTAGTGCAATGAATTCGCATGTCCTCACGATTTCTATCGGGAGGGGGGGGGGGGCACGTTTTGAACGCCTTTCTATAGGCAGCCAGCCAATTTATCTAAAGATAGGATTTCGTCTCGACTTTTAACCTATTTGAGTACATTTCCTTTCCTTCTTATCTCGGAAATAAACTTGCAGCAGCCAGTGCGCACACCTGCGTTCGAAAAATGCAATTCCTAATTTCAATAAATAAAAACAATGAATAACTGGAACAAAATTCGATAAATGCATTTTTTATGTTCCGTCAGTCGAGGAGTAACAAGTTTCAAAACTCTCAGGCACGTGGATGTACCTAATTATGGGCTCAACCTACTCCGGACAAATCCTGAACCGGGAGTGAATGTTGCAGGTGTAGGAAAGGGAGTTCAGGTGGCCTTTCGAATGCGAAAATGGAAAGCTTTGTTGTCTATTCTAAATAAATAAAAAGTGCGATTCGAGGCGCGGTTAGCTTGTTACTACTTGGCCGACTTAAGGCGCACTCCTCCGGACTTTCAAGTTTCGAGCACAGATTCTGCGCACGCCAAATCTTAAGACGATTCGGCATTGTGAGAAGCGCTAGCCGAGAATCCATTAACGTGTCCTCGGTAATGCGCGTGCATTCGTAATTCTAATCAAGCATTCCGTTCTGTGGATGCTGCCCTTTTTTCGAAAGGACGGTCTAATGAGGTAAGGCTCTCAATGTGGACGTTACATATTTGTAGTCTTCTTCTTACTGAGGTGGTGCAGTGGAGTTCGAGATAAAGAGTTTATTATTTTGTTAGAGATGCAAAATTTGCTACTGGTGATTTAAAAACCACGAGATAAGTGTAGCGAGGTCAAATAACTGCTTAAAAATTACTGTGAGTAAACACGAAGACAAAAGGTATGTGGGGTTTAAGGTTCCAAAACCATCGTGTGATTATGAGAGACGCTGTAATGCAGCGCGCCGGACATTTCGACCACCTTGTCTTCTTTAACGTGCATTAAAATTTGAGCACACAATCCTACAGCATTTTGTCTTCAGCGAGAATGCAGCCGCCATAGCCGGGATTCGATCCCGCGACCTGCAGGTCAGCAGCCGAGTTCCTTAGCCAGTATGCCACCGCGGCGAGGCGTAAACCGAGAGTGTTTGCTACAAAACATTGACCAGTATGAGGTAATTGTGTTTGCAAGAAATCCAGTGTTCGTTTAAGAAGCAAGAAAAAAATGGAGGGAATCAGTATTGGCTGGTTAGCCACTTCGCATACTGGTTGGGTACCCTGGGCTGGAAAAAGAAGTAAGGGTATAAACTGTAATATAAAAGACACGTTACAAAAAGGAAACAGGAACGAAAAAAAAAGACCGGAAAATGAAAGGGAACACTTCTTAACACTTCTTAGATCCTGTTTCCTAAAGGTCATTTTTTGATCAGTGGAAATATAGCACTATATTTTGTAATACCTTACGAGAGCAGTACTACAGACACGCGACTACACTTTCAAAGTCTTAAAAAAAGAAATTTGTGGCCACTTCGTTGATGCATGTTTGGTAAAAAGGTGACACAGGTTCAGTACTATTGGGTTTCACATGCTAATACTGGGGTGACGTCAAGACACAGGTTACCACGGTTTGATTACCCATCACTGCGGCCGCATCTAAATGAAATCTAATTACGGCACTCGTTGAAGGATTTCAGATAATCAAGAGAAGGAAATCATAAAAATTCAATTTTTTTCTAGTTAGGCAGACAGTTGATGATAACTAACAGACAGTCAAGCCAAGAGGAATATAGGTGACGTAATTTTTAGTAGTGTGACGGTGATATAAATGTGAAAAATGAAGTGCCCGTTGGCCTACTGTAATTTCAGCCACTTTAACTCCTTCGCATTTATATAATATTCTTCACAAACGTCACTCCCTGTACTTTCATAGTCGTGATTGTCAATTAGTTACCCTTCAAGTACACTATATTATGTAGAAGCCACCCCTCGTGCAGTTCTCATAGCGCTAATAACTTTACGAAGTCTCTTTATGCTTCAGTTGCACAAAGTATTTCTTTTCTCTCTTCAGTTTTTTTACGTTTCTTATTTGCTCCGGCGCACTTCCCGCTATTTCTTAGGCAACCAAGGAAAAGGCATAGTATAGAACCTCCTCGTGGGCAATGATTTTAATTTCCCGTGGATATCAACATGCACACTGGCTTTTTTTTCACTTTCTTTCTTTGATGGATGAGTAGCGAGGAACGAGAGAGATGTGAATGCGGCCAACATGGACATGTCAATTTCACTACCTTTACTTGAACTGTTCAAGTGGAGCGGCTGCGGTGGCCGGTGTTCACTTCGCCAGGAGTGTGAGCTCCTTCTACTCAGTCGCACCTCGAGTTATAGCATGATGTGCCCGAGAGACGCTGAGAGTTGCGTGTGTCACACACGTCCCGTTTATTAGGGAGGCAATCGCCGGGCTAATTCCAAGGGCCGAAGTATCGGCCCCCCGAACCGCACCACGAAAGCGTGGACAATTTAGAAGTGGTCCTTTATGGCGCGCCAGCGGACGCCGGCTGTGTCCCAAAGAACAAGTCAGAGCCGAGAGTTGTTAAGCAAACAGAATTATATTCTCAATAATGGCAGATCGAAAACAATACACAAAAACGCACACTCCACAATAGTTGCATACAATATGTCACCAATCAAACCAATCAAACAACGTACTACACAGTACAATCAGCCACACTTGAAACAATGGACACAGACAACAATACGCACTACAATGCAGTCGCATGCATTGAACAACCAAGACACTTAAAGACTAAAGAGTAAGAAAACCTATTCAGTCCAAAGTTCTTGGAACCAAAGTCTAGATGATACTCTTCCGAGAATCACTCACTCAAAGTCCAGCGTTGTTGTCGTTCCGCAGTTCTCGAAGTTTCTCTTCCAGGACACCTCGCCAAAGTTTCTCTTCCAGGAAACCTCACGTTTTCAATAGGCCACTCTCCAAGCTTCAAACTTCTTCGCCGGAACACGTCGGCTTCACACACGCAGTTGTCGCCACGTGTCTTCGCTCGATAGCGGTAAACACACGCTCTTGCCTGTAGCTCGAGCCTTCACCCCTCAGGTGGAAATCCTCTTCTTCTCCTGCTTTGTCCCTATGGAAAAACCTTCGCTGACTACACGGCGGAATCCCTACGCGCTCTGGCGCTAACTTCCGTCTTCTCCTCCTCTCGTCTCCGCTGCTCGGTTAAATACCTCCCGCACGACATTCCAGAAAGTTCTCGTCATTTCGTCGGCGCGATACGCAGCGAAGGCTGGGGAGGGGGCGAGACGGTTGGAATGCCCTCCGCGATGGATGACTCAACCCGGCGTGACCACGCCTCTTTCGTTCCAGAAATTTCGCGGCCTTGCTCGGCCGCGTCGACGAAGCCACGCTTCCGAGGGGACAGCGCGCGCCCGGGGAGCCTTTAGATGTTTGTTTTCTTTTTCTTTTGACCTCGCGGCGTCACTCTGGTGTTTCGTCGCGACAAATTGGCGGCGCGCCCATTTTTAGCGCTCGTTCTGTGACACTGCCCCCCACTTTAAGAATATTATCTCATAATATTCAAAACCACACAAACGAGCGCGAACTGTCGCCACACACTCTGAAAGACTAACACAAACCGCCGACCTTGACACTTCACATTCGCAATAGGTCGCTCAATACAATCGTACATTGTAGTTCAATTCCACAACACATGAAATATAGCCACAGGTACATGACTACAACACTTCATCACAGATTCCAAACAATACAAATGTATAAATTTCTCTCATTACAACAATTACTATACTAACATCATTACTATACATTACATCACCGTAACAAACATTTTGACTCACTCAACATACAGTTGCGGCACAGCACAACAAGAACACTAACACAACATATGGCACTCAGCCCTGCCAAACACATTCCGATTCCACCTCAGCACCTATCCTGTGTATTTCGAGCGGCGCTTGCGTCTTTTCTAGCGGTGCTCGCTTGATCTCTTCTTATTGTTTTTGCTCATTTTGTTCCGGCGAGCCCCTTCCAACGACGGTATCTGAGGCGGCGTCTCAGCCATCGTGGTCACTTCCGACACCGTTAACGGGTCATAACGTTCAACGGGTCCTGTCGGTTTATTTACCAGCTTGTTCATGTCACGGCATTGGGCCTGGCTGGCCGACTCCGTCACTTTTACACTGTCGGTCGGTTCGGGTCCTGCCGACGTAAGTCCAGTTGCTCGACCCGTGAAATCATTCAACTCGATCATCTTCTCATTCGCTGTCTCTTGCGCCGCGGCTTCACCTTGGGCTCTAGTAGGAGCTCTCTAAGCTCATCGTACTCCTGTGCTGTCCCTGAAAGTTCAATCCATCTGTCGAAATAATGGCAAAGTCGGGCGGCATACTGCGTAGCCGTCTCACCATCAGGTGGCTTTCCTGTCCGAAATCTGTCCCGGAATCCTTCCACAGTAAATCTAAATCGCTTTAGCAAAGCAGCTTTCACCTTGGCATAGTTGGCTGCATCGGTCGGCGTCAGCCTACCGTACACACTGAGCGCTTCGCCACTCAAGCAAGTACTCAAAGCAGTTGCCCATTGCTGTTCCGGCCAATTCTGGCTCCTCGCAATCGTCTCAAATCTGTGGAGGTACGCGTCTAGGTCGTCCTTCCTTTCATCAAACGCTACGAGCAGCTTGCTTGGGTTCAAGCGGAAGCCGTGATCTTCCCGTTCGCTGCTTTCAACTCTAGCTTGGACGGTAAGTTCACTTCGCTGTTGCAAACGGAGCCGCTCGAGTTCCATCTCGTGCTGCCGCTGCCGTTCCCTTTCCTCTCTTTCTTCTTTCAGCTGTCACTCCTTTGCCTCTCTTTCTTCTTTCGCCCTTTCAGCTGCCAACTTTTCTCTCTCCAGCTCCAATTTCAATTGCTGCTCTCTTTCTTCTTTCGCTCTCTCAGCTGCGAAGCTCTCTCGCTCCAACTCAGCTGCTTTTTCTTCCTTGGCCCTCTCAGCTGCCAACCTCTCTCGCTCCACCGCCTCTTTCTCCTTCTGGCTTACCCACTTCCGTAGTTCGGCGCCAGAAAGACCCATCTTCTCACCGAGAGCTACTAACTTTTCGAGATTCATTTTGTCTCGCAAATAAAACCTTGCCGCGTGTAAAAGGTATCTGCCTAAATCACTCTATCGGAACACTTCCCTGCGCTCGTTAACGAGAACACTGAACAACACACAATATCGTTCCGTTAGCAGTATCAACAACTCGAGGCTCTTTCTCACTACTTTGGACACACTGTGCACGAAAAGGTCCTGTGTCGCGGACGCCAGATTAATTGTCACACACAGTTCCCATTTATTAGGGAGGCAATCGCCGGGCTAATTCCAAGGGCCGAAGTATCGGCCCCCCGAACCGCACCACGAAAGCGTGGACAACTTAGAAGTGGTCCTTTTTGGCGCGCCAGCGGACGCCGGCTGTGGCCCAAAGAACAAGGCAGAGCCTAGAGTTGTTAAACAAACAGAATTATATTCTCAATAATGGCAGATCGAAAACAATACACAAAAATGCACACTCCACAATAGTTGCATACAATATGTCACCAATCAAACCAATCAAACAACGTACTACACAGTACAATCAGCCACACTTGAAACAACGGACACAGACAACAATACGCACTACAATGCAGTCGCATGCATTGAAGAACCAAGACACTTAAAGACTAAAGAGATAGAAAACCTATTCAGTCCAAAGTTCTTAGAACCAAAGTCTAGATGATACTCTTCCGAGAATCACTCACTCAAAGTCCAGCGTTGTTGTCGTTCCGCAGTTCTCGAAGTTTCTCTTCCAGGAAACCTCGCCGAAGTTTTTCTTCCAGGAAACCTCACGTCTTCAATAGGCCACTCTCCAAGCTTCAAACTTCTTCGCCGGAACACGTCGGCTTCACACACGCAGTTGTCGCCACGTGTCTTCGCTCGATAGCGGTAAACACACGCTCTTGCCTGTAGCTCGAGCCTTCACCCCCCAGGTGGAAATCCTCTTCTTCTCCTGCTTTGTCCCTATGGACAAAACCTTCGCCGACTACACGGCGGAATCCCTACGCGCTCTGGCGCTAACTTCCGTCTTCTCCTCCTCTCGTCTCCGCTGCTCGGTTAAATACCTTCCGCACGACATTCCAGAAAGTTCTCGTCATTTCGTCAGCGCGATACGCAGCGAAGGCTGGGGAGGGGGCGAGACGGTTGGAATGCTTTCCGCGATGGATGACTTAACCCGGCGTGACCATGCCTGTTTCGTTCCAGAAATTCCGCGGCCTTGCTCGGCCGCCGATGTGGGGTGAGGAGGTTCGTCGACGAAGCCACGCTTCCGAGGGGAGAGCGCGCGCCCGGGGAGCCTTTAGATGTTTGTTTTCTTTTTCTTTTCACCTCGCGGCGTCACTCTGGCGTTTCGTCGCGACAAATTGGCGGCGCGCCCATTTTTAGCGCTCGTTCTGTGACAGCGTGGCTAGTAAAATGACGATGATCATATATGAAATTGATGACGCCACAAATGAATTAGGGTGATGTTGTTAACTACAGCAATATAATCATGAGCGACGAGAACGTAATCATGAGCATATCAATGTCTGTAATGATCGAGGTGACTGCAGTCATCAAGCACGTAGCCATGAAGACAACGATAATGACTGGTCTAAAATCTCGCCCAAGTCAAGAATTATCCAGCTGTACAAAAATGAGGAAGTGAAGGCATTTCGATATACATTGAAGAAAACATCCCAAATTATAAGACTGCACCAACATGTATCTTCAAAGTGCGGAGGACTTTCGGGGCCTGGCTCGTTATCCATCTGTGCATTTCATATGGCGTAGTCGCGATCAAAATACGGCGCTCAATACAGGCCATAACAAGGTCACCAATGCTCAAAGTCGGATGTAAATGAGGGAGCCACGAATAAAATAACACAATTAACGAAAGTAACCAACATATAATCGTGATAATAGGACGACTTGCCAAAAACTATTGGACGAGATGTGGTTAATTTCTTCACCGCGCGTGAGGGGGGGCCACCGCCTCGCAGAGCGTACAATTTTTCTTCTCACCGGCTCTCCAAAACGATACAACTGAAGGGTGAAAGAACTTGGCGGAACTCGCTGAAGATGACGCGCGCCTCGCCCGCCGTAAGAAGCAGGGAGTCGACGAAGTGTCGCCGTAAAATGTAACGCACATATCACCCACCGAGCTGGCGAATCTTCCCAACCATGTTCCACTCGTATGTGGGAAACTCTACTTGCGCATACCTCGAACATTGGCGTCATCGATGGCTAGGTAAATGGTTAAGTGGGAACTCTAGGAACAGCGATCGCTGGGTGTCCGCCCAATGCACTTCCTCAGGAGGGAGGCAACACTCTCAGATCAGGCCTTGGGAAGCCGACTGGCAAACTTGGACCAGGCCCGGTGAGCCGCTATGGCGAGTAGAGTTCTGTATAAAGGACCCCACTCGCTTTAGTTACTAATAAAAAATATGAATAAATATTTATTATCTCTCACTCAGGTTTATTGTAGTAGAGCTTCGTTTCTGTTTTCTTGTTTATTTGCAGCTATCATTTTCAAAGTTCTAACTGGTTCAAACGTGTCACTGGTGCAGGACTTCGAGTGGCCGGTGGGAAGGCCTGTGGAGAAGTACGAAGTCCTGGAAGTTCAGGTGCTCCAGCACAACAGATATTTCGCAAACAAGTGAGTATGCGGAATCTTTGTCCACACTGTGCGTTGAACACTAGGGTAATATAACCGATCCTAACCTGATCTAAATTAACTCCGTGACATGCCGTACGACATGGTAATTTTCCGGAGCTCTCCACTATGGCATTATTCATAATTACATGGTTGTTTTAAGACGTTGCGCTCCAGCATTTATTATTTTTCGCCGTTCCTATTCCTTGTCATGTTTCACTGCGACCTTGCTATAGGATTCTTTTTCAGAGTAAGTGGACTTGAATTGAACATTGACAGAGATGACAAGGCTGCTCCTTTCAAAGAAGAAGTTATACAAAACAGTACCAGATAAAGCCAGCGAGAAACGTACGACTTTACGAGCGTACGCAGACTCTTGCGACTAAAAAATTCACTTCAACCGCTTTGTAAAGGCCGCCGTGCTTTTTGATGCCTCGGGTATGAATGATAATAAATTTGAGCCTCCCATATGTTACTGAGCCAGCCAGATGGTTAGATTTTGGGCCCCACGATGCACCATGGAAAACTAGGGACAGTTAGGAACAGGTGGTGCGCAGATTGACAAAACATGGAGATGGTGGTCTAACCCTCTAGCTCGCTCTGACTTCACTCAAACAGCACTTGCCTATAGACCATTTTACAAATGGTCTATAGGCAAGTGCTGTTTGATGACGCCTTACTGGGCTCTTAACAATCGTGTGTGTTTTTTTTAATATTTACCAACTGAACGAATGCTGTTGCAGTAGATGCCTACGTATGGAAATGACCGGATCATATTTCCTGACTTCATTGGTTTTCCTGGTGGTGTACAAAAGACTACAAAACATAGGATTAACAGACCAAGATGGTGGCACCCAGATGCCATACGGAGAATATTCTATATTGTACATGGCTGGTTGCGTTTTGTTCCCTTTCTTCCCTCAACCCTTTGCTATGCTATACAAGACTATGCAATGCACTCTACCCTTCTCCTCATATGCCTTACTTACCTACTCGTTATATAAAGGTGGGAACTAGACACGAAGCACTGGCCGTAAGAAAGTGCTCACGTGCCGCTCCTCTAGTCCGGCCGTGCCACATCTCGTTTAGCCCTTGGAATGTCCACTCGACGGCAATACTTTTATTTGACGAATATATGATGGATAGATGCAAGATGGTGGTGCTAAGAGTGTTCACTAGACGAACGGATGGATGGACAGATTCACAGATGGAGAGACAGACTGATGCGCGGACGGGCAGGTAGACGGTCGAACGGAAGGGCGGGCAGACGCACGTACGGGTTGACGCAGGAATGGACTCACGGACGAATGGATACACGTACGGACGCACGCACGGACGCATTGACGGACGGACGGACAGGCGGAAGCATGAACGACCGGATGGACGAAAGCGCAGACAAACTGACAGTTGCTTCCCCCCACTCATCATCATGTGCTTCGTGTATAAGTTGTCATTTCTTCTAATTATTATTTGGAGTGTTGAGTACGTGACCGAAAGGAGCGCAAAACTGCGTGCTTAGAAAAAAAATCACGTCATAGCCACGGGGTGAATGATGATGAGTGGAGCGAAGTGTCCGTCCGTCCGTGTGTTCATACGTCCATGCTTCCGTCCGTCCATCCACTCCTATCACACTAGTGCATGCATCGGACGGACGGACGATTCGCCCCACTCATCATCATTCACTCCTCGAATATGGTGGCTATGCAGCACGGAAGGACGACCGACCAGGTTATGATATAAGCAGCTTCGTCCCAAAAAGTGTTCAACTATTTAGAGTACATCATACTCAACTACGGGAGAGCATGAAGCCGTCCCCGTCAAATATACGCTCGAACATTCTGGCGTGTTTAGATAATGTGGTTAACAATTCAGAATACTTGGCACTCTGCTATAGGCGAGCGTAAAGCCATCCCGTGGGACTGATGTGTGTTTAAAAAAAGTGTTTAACGATTTGGAGTATTTAGTACTTTACAGTGGGACATCTAAATCCATTCCTATAGACCTTGTGTTTAAAATGTAGTAACGATTTAGGAAGGAAAGGAAGGAAAATCGGAGAAAAAGAACGGCAGGGAGGTTAACCAGCCTATGGGCAGCCGGTTTGCTACCCTGCGCAGGAGAGGGAAATGGAGGATATGAAAGATAGAGAGCAGAGAGGGAAGAGAGATAAACGCAGCAGGTTCCGCAGCACACGCGCGCACACTCAGTCATAGTCCAGTCTTGTCTTTCGCGGTGTGTGACATTGCTGTTACAGCCGCTTTTTCAAGTCCGTGTCGCGTAGGAATTTCAACAGAGCTTTTGTCGCCTTCTGTTGCAAAGTCTTCTCTCAGGAACTTGACAGAATAGTGTCCACAGACATTTGGGTGTTGTCGATGCGCGAAAGAACGGACGCCAGTGACTGTCTCTGGATGTCATACAACGGACAGTCGCACAAAATGTGGTGTAGCGTCTCTTCGCAATGACAGGCATCGCAGAGAGCATTGTCGGCCATTCCTATGACAAAGGAATAAGATTTTGTAAATGGCACTCCTAGCCATGAGCGATGAAGAAGGATGGCTTCTCTTCGGTCGAGCCTAGTGGGCATGCGGAGAGTCATCAAAGAGGACAGGTGGCGTTGACGATTCGTCTTGTTGCTTGGTGGGAACCATAGTGAAAACGTGATTTCACGCGCTAGTCGTCGAAAATTACTGGCTGCATTGGTCCCGATAGTGGTAAGGCTTCTTCTTGCGTTCCCTCAAGAGCTTCCCGCGCGGAAGTATCGGCATGTTCGTTCGCTATGACACCGCAATGACTTGGCAGCCAATGCAACGTCACATGATGCTCTTTCTCGTGTGAAATGTGGAGAAGGCATCGAATTTCGCAAACAAGCTGTTCGTACGGCCCGCGACGCAGTGCTGAGAGCACAGATTGTAGGGCAGCTTTTGAGTCGCTGAAAATCGACCATTGTTGCGGTGGTTCCCGATTGACCACACAAAGTGCAGCGCGCAAACCAGCTACTTCTGCTGCTGTAGATGCCGTGGAGTGGTCAGTCCTAAAGCTGATGTTGTCACCTCTTGCTAGGGACAACTACTGCACCTGATGAACACTGGTGGTTCGTAGAGCCATCGTTATATATATGTACACTGTCTGAATATTTGTCGTGCAAAAAAAAAGAGACAGTTGTCTCAGCACGGGCGATGAAAGCTCAGATTACCTCCGGATCCCTGGTACACTAAGATGCACTGTGGGTCGAATAATACATCAAGGGGGTATAGATGGTTTAGATGCAGGAGTGAAGCCCGAGGGAAGTTTCTCGTTGTACTTCACAATCATTTTAGCGAACGATGCTTGGCGCCTCTTTAAAGGCAACAGTGCAAGTTGATGACAGGGAGCACGTGCGAAGTGTCTGATGTGTGTTCTTTGGACTTCTACAACAATGTGAGTTTGTATCGGATAGTCACCAGCAATTGCAATTGTTGCCTCTGTTGACGTATATCTGGGCAGACCAAGGCACAATTTCAGTGCTTGGGCTCGTACTGCCTGTAGAACACGAACACTGGTCTTGCAGGTATTGCTAAGCACGGACAAGATATATCTCAGTAAACCAAGAAACAGGGCTCTGGAGAGTTCCATCATTGCGTCTACTGACATCCCCCACGTCTTCCCTGCCAGGAACTTGAACAATTTTGAAATAGCGGTCAGGCGCTTCTTCATATAGGCCACATGCGAACCCGCACAGAGGTCCCCCAACATAAGACATACGAGACTATACCAAATAAACCCTCGACTGGAACTTCGACCTCCATCCGGACTTCGTCGACGTGAAGCTTGACTTCTTTGCCGCCTTTGGTTGGGGGTTGCCTTCACAAAAGCATATAGAACCCTCATCGGATTGACCGACAATGCGGAATGCGACGTCTGCTGCACCAAAGAAGACATCGACCATCTGATATGCCATTGCCCTCGATTTGCCTCTGAAAGACAGAAGCTTTCGGACGCATTGCGACAATTGGACGATCGGCCACTCTCTCTGCAGATGCTACTGGAACACCGTCATCGCCTTTTGTCGGCTCAAAAAGCAGTCAAAGCTGTCTTGTGCTTTTTGAGGACTACAGGCCTACGTGACCACATTTAACTTTTGTGTAGTGCCACCGCTGCATACACGCCAGCCGATTGACTGACAATCCTCCTTTTTTGTTTTTTTTCTCCCTCTCTTTCTCTTCTATTTCCTCTCTCTCTCATCTTTATGCCCCTTTCCTATTCCCCCAGCGTAGGGTAGCAAACCGGGCATGTGCCTGGTTAACCTCCCTGCCTTCCCTCTTGTTGTTTATCTCACCCTCACACAGAAGTCCCTATCAATAATGATGCCCAGAAACGGGTGGGTTCTGGCGTAAGAGATCGGTCGCCCGCAGATTGAGATGACAAAAAGGGTCATTTCTTTGCGAGTGAAGTCCACCAGCGCGCATTTTTCTGGTGATATGCTGAGACCTTGTTTGAACAAGTAGTTGGCAACCATTGTTCCTGCTCTTTGAAGCCGGGAACATCTGAAGACGGGTGACGGCCGAAGTCCAGACAAAGATGTATTCTACATACATTGGGTACTTAGTACTCTACTATGGGAGAGCAAAAAGCCACCCCGTGGGTCTCACATTTGGTTAGGCCTGAGAGCGTCGCAACCGATAGCTCTTTGATTAACAAAATCTGTTGACGATATACAGTACTTGTACTCTACTACGGGAGAGCAAAAGCCATCCCGTTCTGAACATCAGACGCTCCAAAGAGGTGACGGATCTGCACCATGGAGCCCCATCAACGATCCGGAGGAAGAGCGCTTCGAATGTCGCGAGCTTTAAGGGAACGCCCAGTTAGCTATTTCAAAGAACTACCGCAACGGGTTTAGTTACCTGTTTTTAATTGAATCACCCGACATTTCAGTCTTTCTCCAAATGGTATTTTCCTAAAACTTTTTGAATTGTTTTTGTTGGGATCACAAATCGTTTAACCAAACCGTTTATGCAAATATTGTA